CAGTGCGATCTCACACTTCATAGACTTCGGTCGTCGACGTTACAATTGTTATTCGCGCGCACAGCAAAACGTAAGTTTTAGTTAAATAACCTATTGTTTCCTTATATTTTTTACTGTGAATTGTCGTGTAAGGATATTTTTATGGAACTCAAGAAAAAAAAAAGAAATTGCCTCGATTGAAGTGAAAATATTGGGAGTGTTTCTAGGAAAGGCTTATAAGGCCAATCAAAAATTTGACGGTTGGCCTTGCTAGGGAACATGGGCCTTACATCTATAAACCATGAACATATGAACACTTATTATGTGGTTATAAATACGTACCGTTAAAGTTAAAACAATGTTTTATCTTTATAATTTTTTTGTAATGGTTTTCTAACTTTTAAACTCAGATTGAATAGACATTTTTTTCAAAATTATTTTATTTTCAGTATATATTTAAATTTATTTTATGTCTATGAAGAGGTTATATCTGGAAATAAACTAAACTAATTTACATGAAAAGCAACGAATATAAAAATATTTGCTTGTTAAAAGCGGTAAAGTAAGTATGAGATAAGTTAAAAATTGTATATCTAAGATAGTCTGTCTAAAACTATAATTAAAGCAAAAAAAAATTATATCAATAAGTTGGTAATTGAACAGATGATTAAAATTTATACGTATTATTTCAGATTTCAAGAATGTCACAGTCAAAACCTAGAAAAAGAGGTAGTACATGACACGAAGATAGTTTAAGATTTTAAACATTCCTGACTACAAGACTGACTATGTGCCATGATAAGTTTGTAATAATTACAGTACGTCTGTAGTGTCTATTATTTGATTATAATTAATATAAAAAAGGCATAGATCGTTAGTTTGGCCTTCTTAGGAACATTTTGGCCTTACAAAGAACGGAGCCTTAAGAAGGCCATATAAGGTAAAAAAAAAAGTTTTTAATTTGATTATAAAACGCGTTGGCAAGTTATTTTATATCAATATAATATTTATTACTACTAGTTTTAAATAATTTCCATTAATATATTCTTAGTTATACGATGGTGTTCAAGTAATGTTCATTGTGTTTTTTATAGATAATAAAAATATATTGTGCATTTAATGTTTCGCTTAAATGAAAGAGCTTATTATGTAGTTTTAGTAAAAGCGGATATATTAATTGTTACAACTCTATTTTTAAGTTGAACGACTGAATTATAATATTGGCCTTGTTTGGAGCCCTGTTCCTTGCAAGGCCATTTGGAAGAGCTTAATAAAACTTAAGTTTAATAAATAGTTATTAAAGCTAGTTAAAAAAAAAGTGATTTCTATGGTACACAATAAACCAAAGTATGCCTTAACAGTTTGTTTCCTTCATTTATCCAGTAAATATACGAATAAAAAGTGTTTATTCTTTAGAGTGGCCTTCCATGGTCCACCCACCTTATAAAACAATTTGATTAGATTTAAACGAAACTGTATTTTGCACAACAGAATCATTTGAACATTGAAAGTTCCTATTATTTTAATTTAGTTTACAACTCAACAGTCACAAGGGCGTTTGGGCTCCGGCAACCTCACTCACTCGTTGAATTGCTTAACACCGGTGTGGCCGAAGCACGAGTTTTCCAGGGGTGGCATGGGTTTCCCACGGATATTTTTTATTCTACTACTATTAGTGTTCATCTTACAGATTGCCCCTCATACAGAAAAATCCAATTTTATTTTCAGCAGACCCATCTATATGGCTTTTAGCATTTGGCTTGGCTTTTTGGGACCCCTGGTTTAACTGGCGTCTAAAGCCATCGCCTCGATCGTTCTACTCGGATTCGGTCATCCATCGGACCTGTGTTGGATTAAGTGTAAAGTTAAGGAGGACTGTTTTTATATGAATCGTACCCCAAAACGGAATACAATAGTACCAGTGCAAAAGTTACACGGTGTGAAACCATTTAAATGAATACCTATTTCGTCTCGCTTAGACACTAGAATTCAATTCGACAGTATAAAAAACGTGAATACCGGATTTTCGTTATTCTTAAGTACTTTTGTCTTTATTATTCTTAAGTAACCTCTATCGAAGGACGCGAGGCTGCGCATATATGAGTATCCAAATAACATAACCATGTACATGTAGCATTCCACCAGTAGTGCGGGGTGAGGATAGAACGCAGGGGCGGCCTTTGGGGTGGCGAGCAGGGCAACCGCCCAGGGGCTAGCTCATGCAGGGGCCTCGCACTCTCGCGGGGTAACCCAAGTAAAAAAATGTTTATGAAATTTCGCGCCTCTGGCCTTGCATTATGAAACTAACGCAACGCTACTCGCGCTAGATTTACGTTTGGGGATTCTCCGTGTTTCGTTCCGCCTGTCATTTTGCTTTTATGCTTATGCTTTTATGTTTGAGCAAAGTATCGTCATTAAAATTCCACAAAGACAAAGGTCTCGCAATGATCTACCAGCAAGCGCGGGTCCGTGGCTAAGGCCGCCACTGATAGAATGGTCGAACAAAAAGACGATTAAGGTATAAACAGTTCATGACAGTTTCTCTCACTTACACCATTGGCAATGGGGTACTCCCGCAATAGGCAAAGAGATACCATGGAAGTTGTGCACGTAGTGAAATGTACTGTTTTATAGGCCTATATGATTTTACAAACTTAAGATGTAGTGATTGTTAGTGAGTGTGTGTGTGTGTGTGATAGTGTTATTTTCGATGTCATAGTAGTTGAATAAAGAACGCATTTTACAAGGCAGAAAAAATATACGAGTATATATGTATATACATATGTTGTGGGTATTTTGTAACAAATTTATGATATTAGGTTATATACCTACTTTTGACTATTTATAATTCTCGTAGTGGGATTCAAAAATAAAAGCACTCGGTTTAGTAATAAAAAAATATTTATTGTATAAATATTTTAAAAAATTACGCTAAAATTAAATTAGTATAGACATTGCCTTAACACAGAATTCAAATAAATAATTAAATTAGTATTCTGTGTTACATACAGATTTATTTACTAACAGCACAGCACTCATCCATTTTTATATATATATTTAAAATAATGTCAAAACGATGGCACCATCAGCAAACTGTTTACTGCCGTCAATGCAGTACATTTTTGCAAATGACCGTACAATCCCTTCTCGTACAACGCATCACAAATTCTCTCTTCTTGAAACTTTAATTCGATACCCCACAACCAATTGTGCATAACAATAATATCTTAAAATGTATGTAGCGAAGCGAAGTGAACTTCACCGATTTGTCGATTTTTTGTCAGTTTTGTGAAGGTTAATTTCTCGGACACTTTTAGTACTCGAACGTATCTCCTTGCATTGCACGTTACTCTTGATACATAACATACAAGCAGTCGACAGACAAACAAATTAATTAGAAAGTCTATAAAACCAGTAATACGTTTTTTACATACCTATGTATTAAGTAACTGTTTTAAATTTTAATTATTGCTAAGAAAACAAACACGGATAAATAAACATTTCATTAAAACTTAATATAACAAGTAAAAATACCAACTTAATAGAAAATGTTTATTTAACAGTAACGATTCGTTATTAGCAAAAGAGAAAATGAACCAGAACTGAGAGCTGATGGCGCCATCTATCACTCGTTTAATAATGACGATTCCAAAATTTTTGTAAGGCCTTTAATTTTAAAATTACATGTAGGCTACACCATAAAACATTGGAAGACGCATTTTACGCAGATGCTATATATTGATACGGAGAACGAATCAAGCCATATGGAGCTTTCTCCTTCTATCTCTCCTAAAATTGCTCCTTCCACTCTCTACCTTACTGTGCACTTGTTATAACGCTAAATCACAAGACACACATTTGTGAAAATTTTGAGTGCCAAGTATCTGTGTACTGTGTAAGGATACATTGCTGGTTTTTTAAACTATGTTTTACTAAAGAAAAGTCTTTCTATTTTGAGCCTTGACTTTCCTATTTGTATGTATTCCAGTAAACAGTTTGTCTAAGAACACAACTGATCGCCACCCACATATTTAGTAAAGAAGTCACTACACTTTGTTCTGATTTTCATGCACTATAAACAATCGCGACTAAACTAATCGACTATACGCGAAACTCTAGGTAGCGGTAAGGTTCTGGCTCATTCGATTCGAGGAAAGCTTACTGTTACCAACACTTTCTAGTTTTATTCGAAATATCCGTGCACACCGAATAGCCACTTTAGTAAATTGAAAATAAATACAAATAATACGACTTTATATCAGTGAATTAATATAATTAAAAACGCGTTCATTGACTATATTATCTTACGCTCAAGTTGTTTTTTGTTAAAATTATTTATTAAGAACAATTTAAGTACCTGTACTAAATAAAAGCAAGAGGAAGATGCAAAGTTTAACTATGATATTAGGAATAACATCCTTCAAATGTCGCCTAACGTCGTTTCGAGATACGTATTCCAATATCAGGATCTTCAAAGACGAAAAATAGTTAGGCACCACAAATAAATATTCCTACAATGAAAATAACAGTTCATCATTTATGCAGATCTAGCTATAGTCCATTCACACAGCTTTCGTTTTCTTGGAACCCGATTGGTAAGGGGCCGGGGTTTCATCGATAAGTCACTATTTTCTTAATGCGAATGGACTATAATACTAAACACCGACGTTAACTGAAAAATCTGTTAAACTAAAAACCAAAGCAAGTCCCCATTACTTCCAAATCAATCAATTTAATTAAAACGTATAATGAAACATATACATATGTAAAATATACATTACATATTACAAATAATACATGCAAGGTTTATAGTATGATAATATTTTCATGATATTTCCGTTATACAGTTTATCATTCTTAGCCATTAGTTTCAGGATATTTGCTAACCTGGTACAAGTGTATACAGTAAGTACACTTTTATGTTTTATCTTGAAAATAATATACGCTTGGTGTGTGAAGAATAAATATCACAAACAATTTTAACAAATATTACAACTGTTGGGCTTCTTGATACAGAGGTGTTATTGCAGCACGGCAGCGTTGGCGATGATCGAGGGCGAGTTGATCGTCTCACCGAGACTCTCCAAAAGTTCCTTACGATAGTCATCAAAGTCGCCATCGACCTGCGAAATATTAATAACTTTAGCTTTATTCATAATAAATATCAATTATGTAACATTCAATGCTTTTGCAGGTGCAAATATAATCATAATTGTATATTCCAAAGTACTTAGGAAGTACCCCTTTTTGAGTGTTATAGCTGGTGTTGAAAGAAAACTTTAGTGTGAATAAATTGGATTGTTTTATATCAATGACGGGCCTGTTAGTCTAGTTGTGAGTGACCTTAACTGCTAGATCGAAGGTCACGGGTACGATTCCCACCTACGACAAATAATTGTGTGATAGCCACGATCATTTGTTGGTGTCCGTATGTAATTTATCTATAATATGTATTTATTTAAAAATATTTGAGCACAGGCTCTACCTAGTTTGGGATCAATCTGCAGTGTATGAGATATGTGTAAAAAAAGGAAATAAATAAATAGAAAGTGTACCTCGTTAATAGTCTGATCTTCAATGACGTAGAGCGTGCAGTCCGTCTCCCTGATGAGTCGTTCGTCGTGAGACACGATGATGACCCCGCCCTTGTACTCGTTGATCGCTTCCGCCAGAGCGTCTATACTTTCTATGTCCAAATTATTGGTCGGTTCGTCCTGAGGCAACAAGCAAATATTAAAGTGACTACAGAGACTCGTTATGATTTAAGTGTGTTATTATTGCTATCGTAATTCACAGTAACAACAAAATGATCTACTAGAATCGGAGATGCCTGGATAATTTAATTAAATAAGCAGCTCCTGCAAATAAAAGTGCCTAAAAGCTTTTTGCTGATTGTCTTATCACACTCTACCGCTTCTAAAAGTTTTTTTTATGTGGTTCGGGTGAATTTGACTAAATAAAATTATTAATCTGACAAGTCTCACGCGACACATACCAAAATAACAACATCGGGCGCCATAAGAGTAAGTTCGGCGAGTGCGACCCTGGCCTTCTGCCCCCCACTGAGGTCCTTCATCTTGATGGTGTGGGCGTGGCTGGCGAGCCCGAAGGTGCCGAGCGCCTTGCGCGCCTTCTCGTACTGCAGCCCGAACAGGCGCTGCAGGTACTCCGCCGGGGACTCCTCGGCCGTCAGGTGCTCGCCCGAGTGCTGGTCGAAACGACCTATCCTCTACACACACGGTACATGTTTTATTCCACTATAGTGATATTTATATGAATTTTAAAAATGTATCGTAAAAATTAATCAGTGAAGAGTGTCGACACTACCTAGAACTCAGCTGTAATGTTTACTAAATACTAACCAGTCTGTGATTCCTGATGAGATCTCCTCTAATAGGACTGAGCTCTCCCACCAGCAGCTTGAGGAAAGTGGATTTGCCCACTCCGTTTGGTCCAACGATAGCCACACGAGAATTAAGATCTATACCAAAGTCCACACCGATGAACAAGGGCTTTTGATTGGGGAAGTTGAAGTCTACATCTGTAAAGATGAGAAAATTGATGTCAGAAGAATAGAGACGGAAGCATCACAAAGGTGCGTAACAATTTGAATTACATGGCATATGAACATCTCGTTTTACTATATTTCAATTATGAAATATAGAGGACTAGCTGAAATCAATTATAATAGCTAAGTCTCGTTCGCCCAACAGGCTCTCTTTTTAACCCTAATTGGCAAACCTACCAACTCCACTTTCTGTGATAAAACCAACAAACGAACTACTTAAGAGTCTATGCAGTATTATAATAAAAATGACAACAATATCATTCATCAATAGATTTTTCCATAAAAATTTAGTTTAAAACATCTGAAAACGTTACCGAAGTAGATTTAGTGGGTTGACCAATAAATGTGTGGGGTGTGTACGTACTGTGCAGGCCGAGGATGGGCGGCTGCAGCGGCGGCGGGTCGGGGAAGGAGAACTTGACGATGTAGTCCTTGGGCCGCTGCAGCAGCGCCGTGGGCGCGGCCGCGTCGTCGTCCTCGCGCTGTGCCTTGCTTCGGTTCTTCTCCTGCTTGCGAGTCAAGGTTTCCTTCTGCTTCTTCTCCTGTTAACCACCATTCGTATTTATAATTAGCACATGAACATACATATGATACACAACATATAACATTATTATTCGGTAGCATGTGGCTATAAGTTGCTGACTTAACGGTATAACATATTATCACTCTAAACTATGATGGAAATAAACTAGAAGTTGTGATAACTGCCTATGTTCGTATGCTGTACATAAGAACTTTGGAAATTGAAACATTAAACTATAGAATGAAATAAAACGGCCAGTTGTATGTGTATTACATATTAAATGGGCCTATGCATCTGTGACTGTACACCAGAAGGCCAATTCTCGTAATAAAAGTTCAACTGTCATAAATTAAAAACAGTTAAAGTTAAATTTATGACAGTTAAAGATCGAAACACCCAATGTTGACCTCAATATGATTACATATATTATATCATATTGTAACCGAAAAGTGAATTCGGTAATCTGCTAGTCTTAGTAGTACTTTACTGATACCTTATATGACAGTTGCGTTAACGAGAGTTGATCGGAACTGAATTGTGACCGAACTTTTATTACGAGAATATGCCTTTAGGACGAAATTCAGTAATGAGTCATTTACTCATGTCTTGTCATGTCTTGGAACACAAAACTTTTGAATTTGATTTCCCTAAGGTCCTAAGTGTGCTATGCCTGATTTAAATAGTAGACAATTTTAGTGCCAATTTCTTCAGCAATCAAAATAAATTATTTAATTTAATCGAATCCTGGGTAAAATAAAGGGTAAAAAAGTAGAATTTTAATCAAACAATAACTTACGGCTTGTTTCTTCGACTGACCATGGGCCTTCAAATCCTTTAATCTCTTTTCCTGCTTCTCATATTCTTTTATCATCTCTTTCCTCTTTTGGGCATGCATTTTTTTAAACATTGAGTAATTGCCCTTGTAGTAATACAATTTTTGGGTGTCCAAGTGAATAATCTCGTTGCACACATTGTCCAAGAATGACTGGTCGTGAGAAACTACTAATAGTGTTTTCTTCCACCCTTGTAAGTAACTAAAAATAAAACAAAAAATATTCTTGTTATCTGCTTTGATAACTTTACTACTACTTTATGATAAACTAATAGAAAATAAATATATATGGCTTTAAACTAGGATGCACAGTTAAATTCGTTGACAGTGAATTATTTAAATCATTACTCATATTATTATATGGTAAAAAATACTGTCTAAACATTTGTCACAAAGTTTTGTAAGAATTTTTGCTGAGTTCGCAAAAACCGTTTATCTAGCTACTAGTTAATTTTCTAATAGCGAAAGCCATGGCCACTGTACAATAATTAATGTAAATTAGATCAATACTTACTTATCCAGCCAAATGACAGCATTAAGATCTAAGTGATTTGTAGGTTCATCAAGCATTAACAGCGTTGGTTCTACGTACAGAGCTCTGAAAAAGTAATAATTTATAATAATAATGGAAAAAGATTAATACAATCCGACGTAATATTTAATTAGGTTTAATAACAATGCAATCGAACGAACATCCGTGTGGTGACGGATTAAGAATACGGAATGTACTCACCCTGTGGGGGTCGTAAGAGTCAACTAAGGGAATAAACTGTGCAGAACAACAGCATTGCAAAGAGAAGGAAACCTTGACACAAACCCTATGCTTACCCATATCGCCAGTGTGGTATAGAAGGCCAAATCCTCCTTACTAAGGAGAGGCTTATGTCTAGCAGTGGACTATTCCTGGTTGTTGATGAATCGAACGAATAGTTACCGTTTGGAATCCAATTAAGATTTAAAGTTGCTTCAAATGTTAATTTTTGAATTACCAATTAATGTAATTACCGAGCAAGTGAAACTCTCATTCTCCATCCTCCTGAGAAGTTCTTAGTGGCTCTATTCTGCATCTCACGACTGAATCCCAGACCAGCCAGGATCCTTCTGGCGCGCGGTTCCGCACTGTCCGCACCTATCGCCTTCAGCTCGGCATACACCTCGTTTAACCTCTCCTGCTTACTTAGATTGCCTTTTTCTGTTTCGGCCTCTAACTCTTTACATTCCTTTAACAACTCTGCAATAATATTTTTAATTAGCAACATATTTCAAGTTTTCAAACCCTATTGAGTAACTTGCCCGCCCATCTAGTCATTACATTTTCAAAATAAAATAGACTATATTAAAATTTTGTTTCCCAGGATATGTGATTATGAATACGTTCGAGCATTAAGGTTATCGCGTACCAGGTATTACATCTTTCATTTCATCACCTTTTAATTGCCTGACGTTTCGAGCAGGTTGCACCGGTCGTTGTCACCAGCTGACAATTACTAGGTAAACGCGATAATGCCTGTACGTATTCTAAATTAGAAATGAAATACATATAATATTTATTGTGTTATCTGTTCGAAATCAGTATCAAAAAATGTCCTTAAGATAACCAGGGGATTGTTTCGTTCAATAGGCAAAACGCTTACCTGTTCTTTTTACATCAGCTTCAAGCAAAGTATCGACTGCGCTCATATCGCTGGCTGTGACTTCTTGTTCACACAAAAGAATGTCTATATGAGGTGGGAGAGGGAACGCACGTTGTGCTAAATGTCTCAGCAATGTAGTCTTTCCGTGGCCGTTCGGTCCTACCAACCCGTACCGACGGCCATTAGCAATAAGGAGATTAGCATTCACAAACAAATCTTTGCCTTTCGCGCTTATTGAGAAGTTTTCCACTTTTATGTCTACAGCATTCTCTAGTGCTGCCATTTGACCTGAAAATATAACCTATATTGTAATTTTCTATGTATATAATGAAACTTTCATTTTCACATGTCTACATTTAAGAATTTGGAGCACAAATATATTGCTAAAAATAATAACTATATATATGATGTCTAGCATCACTGCATGTAGCGACAATTCTACGGTATATTTACTAATAAACATTAAAAGAACTGTATTGCACTACTAAAAACCGACTAACAAAACCAAAAAAACGTCGATAAGTAACTACGAGTAGTTACCGGCTGTTTTCTGCGCTTGACTGACAGTAAAATTAGCATCAAGGTCACTGTGGCCTTGACCTCCCTTCTTCGTCAATAATTCCATTTGCTTCTCATACTCTTGTTGCTTCTTCAACTTCTTTTTCTCTTTGTGACTCATTTTCTTTTCTACTGGTTCTTCATTATCCTTTTCAGGTAAATCTGCAACCTGATGATAAAAATATATGATATGAAACTACATATTATGTAGGTATTTGTGGTGTAGTACTACAACAGAGCTTAAGCAATATTGAATCTCAAATAAGTATATTTTAACTACTAATATTAACTATAAATTGTAGTTAAAATAAACTATTACCTATTATAAATGTGATTAAAATCGAAATTGAATTGAAGATATTTGTTTTATAATTGTAAACTTTGTAGCAGGTATAAAAAAAGGGAAGTAATAAATATATGTATTTTACCTTATCATCAATCTCAATGGAGTCTTCATTCTCGAGTGTTTCCGGTTCCGGTTCAGGCGCCACTTTGGACTTCTTTTTGTCCTGTGCATAACAAATCAATAGCCTCGTTTAAGTTGGGGAGAGTAGAAGGGATAGAGAAGCATATCGTTTATTCAAAAAGGTATGGTTGAAGAATATACTGTATTCCATTTGTAAATTATCAACGAAGCCTTACTGTGATCGAAACAGGTAGCCCACAACTACTTATAGAAAACTTTGGGTTAAAAATCTGGCTTGAAGCTCTGGATCAGTATGACAACTATAGAGGCATTGAGTACTACTGTATTAATACTACTTAAAAATTAAAATGAAAAAAGTCATACGAAAAGTTAATTTTTGTAATCCAGGCATAAAAAATCTTTAGAGGAATTTAAACATTTTTTTTTTTGATCAAATATTACCAAAAAATTATTCGGCCTACATGCTTAGTAAAATTCTTTTGCATCCCTGGTCGGATAAGAGAAACAACTTCACTATAATCTCAAGACCTCATAAAGAAGAAGTAGGCTTGCTTACCTTGCTTTTTGAAGCCGGTTTCACTGGCTCTGGCTCCGGGTCATCCTTAATTTCGAACTTCTTTAATTCTGCCTCTAAATCATCCATGTTGTTCTTCTTTTTATTTTTACCTATAAGAATTATAAACATGCATAAATGGCGTAATAGTTATAGTGATTGGTTCACACTACAAACGCGCCGAGTGTTGGGAGCTCGTTTCCCAAGCTGCTCAAATATTTTTATAATCAACCAATATAAATTACCTTTACTTTTCACAACTGGAATAATTTCTTCCTCCTCTGATTCATCCATCTTCAATTCCTTATCACTCTCTTCATCAGGCCAATCCTCTTTTTTACCCTTTCCTGAAAACAGTTATAATTTAAAAGGATAAAATAAACATTTACACTTCTTGTACAATGGTGTGGTTAGTTAGTGTTGTTGTAAAAAATGTCTTTGTATTTATTCCTACATAATTATATTTTATACAAGTGTCAAAAGCATCAACATTCCTCAAATATTTAGGAGTCCTTAAGATAGATAGAAGAAAGTAAACAGTCCGCAACACCACAACGTCAGAAGCTAATTTATGCTTTCTGCTCATACCTATTACACGACTATATGTATAAGTATGACGTCAAATACCAGCCCAACACTAAACGAAATGCTTAATAACTGTAAATATTATGGCCTAAACATTTGCCACTGTCTTTTAGTTGACATTGTTACCTTCCTGGTTATTAAGAAACATGAACACCAACTGTGGGCGTTTTATACAATTCTGCTTTCCCCTTTCGGGGAAATAAAGTCCAAAAAAATAAATTACCTTTTTTATTTTTTGATTTGGCAGCCGGTTTGGGTTGATTACTAGACACATTGCTCACTTGCGATTTAACATCATCATTGTCTTCTTCATCCGATGAATCCACTTCTTTATTTTTCTTTTTATTTTTTCCTGAAATATGGAAGATCTAATTAAAGGCATACTTAAACGCAAAAAATCCGGAGTAGTATGTATGAGTTGGACTCGTCGACTGAGGGCTTCGTACAAAGTAGGTACATATTATAAATAGTTCAGGAATTGAGTCTCGCAGTTTTTGCCGATCTTTTCCCGAAATTGAGTTTCCAAAGCCTATTATTATTATACTTATATTATTATGTTTTATAAGTGTAATTGTACCTTGATGATTGATTGAGTACTTTAAATAAAGAATATATTTTTTATGATTTAATTTACAGCAAGTATACTATGATTTCTAATTTTCTTGTGTCGAAATATGCGTTTTTTAGAGCATAAACGACTGTATCTTTTTTTTACGTTAACTTAGAAGTTTGATTTGTTTCACAGCTTACAGGAACTTTAGACCTGAATATATGGTTTTAATTTGAACTCGAAACGTCGACGCGTTCCCAAGATAAAGGAACTTGACAGACAGACGGACAACAAATTGATCTTATAAGGATTCCATTTATTCCTTTTGAGATATCGAACACTAAAAAGCAATGTCTTACTAGTTAAAGAGTTATATGTTGTATATGAAAACAACTATCCGAAGATGTGTCTTAAAATTGATATGACAACCGATGAGTAAGACCTTACAAAAAATTCGTGGATTAACTTATCTTATACTGAAGTTCTAACTTGGTTTTCATTTTTTTCTCTCCCCTGTGCCCCAGAATCAGGGGAGGAAGGTTTGGGCTCCAGTTACCTCACTCCAGAACCACAACCCGACAGCAAGCAACCCGAAAGCAACAAAAGAACCGGTTTTCTGTGAGGCTGTGGCCCCTTGAGCAACTGTAGTCTACTATCCACCTGAGACTTGCAGTATTCCTTACCTTAGCTCCTTCACCCTATGCCTTTGCTTACCCCAATTTAAAACTAATATATTTTCAAGTAATGTCGTATGGACATATGGACGACAGGCCATAAAAAAACAGCCAAGATAATTGCCCCTTGCAATGCTACACATTTACACTGACTTTAAATAAAATTGTAAAAATAGGAAGAAACCTAATTTAAATAAATGTACAAAAATATTTCATATTATGTCGTCCTAGCATTAATCAATCATCATGAAATGTTATACATGTATGGCCAGGGATTCAGAAAATGACTTATGGTTACTTAAATCTGGAAAAACAGTACTGTTTGTATATTACTTTTTGTGTCAATTCAATATGATTGGCTGCCTCGGTGGTGCAGTGGTAGCGTATGCGAATGCTGTGCTGAGGTCTAGGGTTCGATTCCTCTCGAAATGCGGCGGAGCAGCCGTGGAATGAGTGCCAACGCGCTGCCGGTCCCTTGAACCTTGAAGCTTGGGGGGGTGGGTAGGTAGGGAGGGAGGTCGCGTCACCTACCGACTGACGCAGGAACTCACTGGGCATGGTTGCTTCGGGGAGTACCTGAATCAGATTGGACGCGAGGAGACGCCAGCACTTCGCAGCCGACTGGGACTCAGCCCAGCATACGTTGGAAGACTGCCCCGCGTGGGCGTCTGAACGCAAGGTCCTGGTCGACCAAATCGGACGAGACCTGTTAATCATTGCTGCCATGCCGGCGGGTGAGGAGGGCTGGGGCGCAGTGGTCTCTTTCTGTGAAGCTGTAATGCTCCAGAAAGAGACCACTGAACGGGATCGTGAGAGGACCGATCCCGAGCGTAGAGGACGACGGCGCCGGTATCAGCCGTCGACGGGGCCGCAGGCTGCCAGAGAGTGGGGACCTCTAGTGGCAGATTAAGGTGGTGGGGAAGCCTGCTTTGACCAGGATAGGGCTTAGCTAGGCCCGGCGTAGTTCCGGGGGGGCCTGAAATAACATAGTCCGGGTCCTCCCCAGAGCTGGGCGCCTGAGACCGGGGGTGTCGGGGTGGCTTTTAGTGGAAACACCATATACTCAGGCTCCTGTGTCCCCGAGGAGCCGGAGATCCGAAGGGATTTTCCACCCCATCAACAAAAAAAAACAAATCCTGGGTCGGACTTAATATTTGTTTGATCTGCAAATATTTGTTTCGAAGTTTGGTTTTTTTTTATGTATAATATGTATGTAGTTATCAAAAAAAAAAGAGAATTCTATCAGTCAATCTAGTTTTCATAGTACTCTGGTTAGTTTGAAACTATTATATATATATTTTGTTATTTTATATATTATTAGAAAGGCACTTTAAACTCGAACTTTGAATCTATTACCGCACAAGTCACTACTCATCATAATGTCATCATCAAGCAATAAAGAAATATAATACCTATAACATTATTGTGATTCTCGAAAGCATATTTTATATATATGAAAATTTTAAATGTAAAAATTTACTTACCTTTTTTTTTACTGACTGGTTTAACAACTTCTTCTTCTGAAACTTCTTTTAGTCCAGCATCACTACCTTCAGAATCCCAGTCATCACCTTTCTTACCTTTACCAAAAAAAAACATCACCATTAAAAATTCTTAATTTTTGTTTATCAATAATTTTCATGATTCTGATGTATTGTTTTCATTTTCTTAAATTCAGAAAAAGAATCTTTTGAGTTTAAGACACTTAATAAAAAAATGTAAAAAACTTGTGTATTTTAATGTCTGAGAAACATCCATGTGGTATTTACTTGTACATGTCTTAAATTAATGATAAAAACAAATAATATTTCTTTCAATTATATTAACAATATGTGAAAATTACCTTTTTTCTTTTTATTAGATTTTGTAACTTGTTTTGATGTTGTAGTCGTTGAGTTACCTAGTGATGACTTGTCATCATCATGATCATCGTCAGACTCGTACCCCTTCTTTTTATTTTTAGCTGAAAACAATTTAAATCATTTTCAAATTTTACTGGTACATGTGTTGTAAATCTCTAATTTTAGGCGCAATCATACTATCATGGCATGAACAAACAACTTATACATGATAATTTTTTATGGGACTATTTATCATAAACTGTGGCTCAGGTATAATTACATATACCAAAGACTGTTATTGTGTAATAACAATGTTCTCATTTGCTATGCTAATTAACACATTGATAGAGTATTTTTAAACATATGGGCACCTTTCTTCTGTGATTTTTTTGATGCAGGTTTAGGGACGTCTTCGTCATCTGATACTTGAGCTTTCTTCGGTATTTCTCCTCCATCACTGTCACTCCAATCACCCGCGTTTCCTTTGCCTTTCTTTTTACCTTTTCCTTTACTTTTAGAGGTTACCTCATGAGTATCGTTTGTCACTGTCGTTTTCTCTTCAACGTCGTCGTTAAGTTCCTGAATTTTCTTGTTGCCCTTTTTCTTTGACATAATTTTAAAGAAATATATTCACTAGATAGCCAAGTTTTTATCTAATTCACCCAGGAACTTAAGTGTTATTTGGCCTCAAAAACAAGAGTTTACTTATACAGTGCTCTGACTTGCTGAGGTGACAATAGTTTGACAGTTAACAATTGACAAGAATTAAAAAGCATGATATGATGACATGAATAAAAAATACTCGATGCATCATTATATCATATTTTGTCAAAATATATTATGAGTTTTGATCTATTTTTCAATTCGATTAATTGTCACAAAAACTTTGTTATATATTTTATTGTTATAAAAAAATCCTTCTTTAAAAGTAGTTGAACCGACTTGAAACTGAACTAACAACAAAAAGCACTAAAAACCTAGCGCAAACGCGGTTGATTTGCTCTCATTTTTTGAAGAGGTCCGTTGTGTCTCATCATCAGAGCTATATGAAATTTAAATGGGACCATTTCGGCATAAAACCCTTTTCAAACAAAAAAGAATTTTGAAAATCCGTTGATATATGACGGAGTTATGCCCGAACATACATAATAAGTTTTTAAGTAATGGGTATAAACAGGCGTATGAACAAGAACATGCATTTGATGAGTTTGACCTTCCACCACGGCGACGAAACGTGGACGTGCTCTTTCAGATCGTTGATTTGCTACAGGTTCAATGGCTCATTTAAGTGAGCGTTTTTAACGTAGTATCGGATGAGTTAAATATAAGGATATAGCCATTGAAATAAACGTTTTTCACGTGAGCCTAAAGGGTAATATAAAATGCAAAATACAAAAAATAAACCACAAATTATAAAGAAATAAAAATATTTGCTTTAATTTTGTTGCCGCCGATTTTCAACGAAAAACTGCCACCCACAAATACGCGTTTAAGATCTGTTAAACTTAAATGAATATGTATTTGTGGAAGACAAACGGCAGTCTCGTCACGGTACTATTATAATACAGTACTCCAACTTCATACAAACGGACGAAACGCGAGCTATACCTACGCGCCTCGATCTCGGGGTGCGCTCGGGGCGCAGACAGTCACGGCTGTGCCGCAGTGTCGAATGGACGGTGTGTTGTTTTTTTAACAATAACCGCGCGATTTTTTCTCTAAAAATCAGTTAATATGACGAGTAGGAAATATTGTGCTGTTTTTGGTTGTATGAATTCGTCAATAACGCATCCAGACATAAGTTTTTTTTAATTACCTGGAAACTCTGAAATTTTACTTTACTTAATAATAATTAAGAAAATAATAATTTTACTTACTAGTAGGTAGGTACATAATATGTGTATTTTTAATGGATAAGTATTTCCTTTTATCTCACGAAAAAAAGGTGTTTGGATTAATAAATAAAGCGAATAGAGTAACGGAAAGTTATTGAGACGAGTGAAATAAGTAGTTATATGCGGTTCTGAATGAATCATGATACGGTAGGTACCTACTTATGCTTGTGCTAAAACTTCGGTGCATGTGTGTTTTGTTACTTTGCATAATTCAAAGTAAAGACGTGGTATTTTATTATTAATAATATTTGTTTATTATCTGTGTGTATGAATAATACTAGAAAATTTTTTTTACCGTCTGTGTGTTATTAGATAGTTTTCGAAATTTTCACAAAGTGTTTCTGCTGCTACTAAAACAACATATACCACTAAAAACTGGTTTTATTTTCTCGGTATTAACAACAACACCTAGACTCATATATAATATTTAGATGTTTGAGGGTTGTGATTTTAAAACATTCGTAGTCAGCTGTTCAGCTTTTTAATAATTAATTAATTGGTGACCAAAGAATTTTTGTTTTGAGTTGTTGTTTTGTTTGAGTTGTAGGTAGGTACCTAATTTATGGAGACGTTAATAAGCTGAGATAAAAAGTTACTTACTCGTCAGCTGTTTCTTGCATTCTAGTTGAGTAGGCAGGTGTTGGAGTTTCTAAGGATTGGAGTTTTGTAACGCGTAAGGAGAAAGCACAATTTTTTTATTCTATAGAAAGATTTTTAAGCTATTGCATAGCTTTTATCGCGGGCTCTGAGCGCGGCGCGGCGCGGTGACCGAATCAAGAAATTCTCAAAACCTAACGGAAAATACCTGACACCAAGCAGATTTTTTTCTTTAAAAAAAAATGTTATGCAACAGCTTTACCGCGGCAGTCTCCGAGAGTGCCACATGTATTTTTTTTCAGACGTCTTCAATGGTTGCAACTGATCCGGCGAGATGATTTGGAAAACAAACCTAACTTTAGTTCCTACCAAGTTTGTGAAAAACATTTTAATTTGGAGGATGTATTACATTCATCAAATAGAAAACTTTTAAGAAAGAATGCCCTACCATTGTTGATGCTGCCAAGCTTAGCTAGTACTGATCCAGGAGTCTCTCTAAAAGAAGATAAACAAACCCAAACTGCTCCGTTGGTAGAAAATGAAAATAGTACACAGATTGAAAATGCAACAAATGAAATCTTTGCTCAAATCTCAACGAGTCTCTCTAGCAACACTCCAAGAAAAAGAAAATTGAAACTTGAACTCCTCCAATGCAGAAAGAAAATAAAATAATTAAATCTACCAATCAAAAAACAACACGCATTTTTATTGAACACTTCTTATTCAATATACAAAGTATTTCATTTATTTATATAAAAAGGATATTTACAATCACAAATCTAAATAGAAACAGAAAGTAGGCAAATATAATTAAAATGCTGGAGACGGGCAGCCCTAACGCATGTTTACGTACCGCGCGGCTATAGGCATTTATTTCTATCATGCGGCCGAGTTACACTACTGTATTATAATTGTACCGTGGTCTCGTCGCGTAACTATTAAATAAATTATGGGTTTACTGTCAGGATTCCAGGAATCCATTTTTAGCCTACAAGTATTGTCCCCTAAATGCCTGCATATATTTTTATCAGGGACCAATTTAAACCAGCCAGCATTGTTAATAGCTGGTTAGAGTTGTGAATTTTCATTGTTAATTAATATATTTGAAATGTTTATAACTTATTTTAGATGTTTTAATGTGATTTTTTTTAGAGATAAGAAGTTACTTTTCTTTTCTCACTATTATAAATTATTCTATACAGACACAAGTGTAATAAATTGTTAATGAATTAAATAAATAAATAAAGCCCTGGTGTGTGTCAGTCATCATTACGATCGGCTTTGGTGGTGCATTCGGCATACATGACTGGACCGACTAAATTGCAGGCTGTCGGCCCTCTTTCCTATATTAACTTCCTTTTATACACATTAGGGTTCGTCCAACGTGCGGGCGACTAGCAATAAACGACTACTTGCGACCGATCAATAACAATTTACAATTTAGTTACCTATTTGGGGGTTAGTACTTAACATGTTATTGTAGCAGTGTACTTGGAAATGGATATAGTATCAGAACTCTAATTGTTGAAAAATTCTGTTTTAATGATTCGTTCCCTCAAAAGGATAAGATGGAGAAGATTTAAGGGAATTGTATATATTCATTCTCCTGCATCCAATATTATGATAAAATAGATAACAAAAAAGGTGCGAATTGAAATCAATAATAATAAAAATGTCGAAATATTTTGTAATTATCTGAAGTACACTTAATGTTAATGTTGTAATGTGTGAAAGTGACATATTTAATTTTGTCGGGGTTCTCAGCCAGCGGTACAACGATTAAAATTTATCTTCCACAGTGCAACAAGCCCCGTCGTGGTCGTCCCCCTGGTGTGTCAATCGTGGTCAACTCGGTCCTCGTACCGGTTCCTCGACGGAAAGTGGCTCTTGGATGAGCACTTCCAACAGCGTCTGCCCTTGGGCGACTTTTGCCTTATCTGCGTTATCGCGATAAGACGACTGTACACGGAGGTTATCCGGTCAACAGCACTAGTACAGTTGGATTTTCACTCGAGGCACCGGTGTGGGTGGCGACTCTGCCCAGATTAAGGGCATAGCTAAATTGCTTAGGGCCATACGCGGCTACCGCATCGTGTCGAAGGAGATGTCGAGCGCGTTGGATACCTCCCCCGTGAGATTTGGAGGTGGAAGTGATCTTAAAGTAAGTATACATAAGATTACGAAAATGGGGAATAAAGCGACTCTATAAATAAAAGTTCATTTTATAAGATTAATTATTTAAGTCCTTAACACTGCGTTAAGGACTTAAAATAAATTTGCCTTTTTATAAATCATGTCTGTCACATTATGTTACTTAGAAATTATGTACAACCAAATCTATTTGTGTTGTATTTTGTGAATCAAGTACTTAATACTTCATTTTATTTCCTATTTATCTCAATTTTTCTCTATTGCGTGGTCGAGACGTAAACATGTGAGTTAGTATGGATAATCTATACTAATATTATAAAGCTGAAGAGTTTGTTTGTTTGTTTGTTTGTTTGTTTGTTTGAACGCGCTAATCTCAGGAACTACTGGTCCGATTTGAAAAATTCTTTCAGTGTTAGATAGCCCATTTATCGAGGAAGGCTATAGGCTATATATCATCACGCTAAGACCAATAGGAGCGGAGCACCAATGAAGAATGTTTCAAAAACGGAGAAAATTTATTACTATTGAGAGACGCAGACGAAGTTGCGCGGGTCAGCTAGTTTCAAATATAAACACGGAACGAGCCAATGAAAGGTGTTCCTTTTGAGTTAGTCGACTTATGAAATAACTAGACCAATTTGACTTATGTAGTTAATCTCGTTTAAGAGAGTCAAACTTCCTAACAACCTAAGGAATCCTGATCCAAAATTATTTCTAATTATATTTATACTTTTTTTCGTTATGACCCAATTGATGAAAACCTAATATTTTAAAATCCACATTCTACTATTTTTATATTCAAATTAACTGTTTGATTTAGTAATAAGGATTATTTGGATCTAGGTACAGGCAATAGTGGACCACCATCACGCAGACGTAAAAACAACCAGTAAGGTCCGTTTTGCGGAGCCTGGTGCTACAGAACCAGAAGGTCCAACAGCAAATGATGCTCCCTCGCCACCACTTGCCGACTCCGATGAAAAGGACAACCAGGACAAGGTGAATACCGTTTCTTTATAGGTCACAGGCATTTCACATAGGTGCACAATACTTGGTATATTAATATAGATATGTCCCAAATCTGAAGTTCTTTAATTAATTTAATAATTAATTCGGTCCTTCTTGGTTCGAATTAAATAATAATTTAAAAAAGAAAAGTGCTCTTTAGTACAATGAATTAGGTTTGATCTGGAATATGATCAACTTGGTTCAATTGAAACATCCACGTCTCTTTAAAGTTCTGAAGTCCCTGCACAAATTAGCAACTTATAGAATTTCATTCCATACTTTTTAAACTACCTTGAAAAGCTTAGTGTATATCAGAACCCACGATGCATTAGTGTGCTTTACCCCAGCAAAATAATGTCGAAAATGGTCATTTAAACGTTATAGATAATTAGTTGCTCCCGTTCTGTAATTGTTAGGCACATTTTCAAATTTGTTTCACTTAAACTTTTTTAGTTATTTCAAAAAAACATTTCCTGCTGGGGTAACGTTTGAAACGTTACCGCAGCCAGACATTTTCTTTTTTAATTGTAATATTGAAATAAATTTTAGCTAAATAATTAGTTATCTGGACTAGGTAAATGTTACAACTTATTTGGTATTTGTATTTTCTTCGGCTGCGAAGTTATTCGAAATCCTGCTGGAGTAACGTTTGTGGGTTTGCTGGATCTCTGAAACGGGTAAGCGGATTGTGACCATCTTTTGTACATAACTTCTTAAGGATTAGTTTTAATTTGTTCGACAATGAAATAACAAAAATAATGGACCGTTTAAAAATTATTTAGGTAAGTATGAAAACACTTCAATACGTCCTAACACTTTAAATAAGACCTCTAAAGACTTACTTGAAACGTTATTCTATTGCTTGTAACTACCTTCAAATGTATACGAATTTTCGTAAGAATACTGTAAGTGACTAAAAAGTTATGATGAAATGTAGCTCTCCACGTTCACGACCACAATGTGTGCGGCCTTTTTTGGCCACCGATAAACCTGTGTGTGGATATATAAACTGAATGTTATGCCAATAATTAGTTGTTTAGTTCAGTTGTCTACCTGTAAAATTTCAGCGTAGTACATATAATAATTTACGAGATAATTAAATAAAAGTCATTAGAAGGTGCAAGACCGTGGTAACCCGACCATGTTTAGGTGGTTACAAAAAAGCGATCACCCAGTACATTGTGCTGGCTTTTAAAATATGTAGGATATTATTTGCAAGTTTACTACGGATATGTACATACGAGGGGTGATCAATAAGTAATGATAATCAATATGAAACAGAACTATTAGATTAAAAAAAGTATTTTATTTTTCAACATAGTCTCCTTGCAAGTTAATACATTTAGTGTATCTTTTTTCTAAGCCCATGATTCCCTTAGAAAAAAATTCTTTGTCTTGACCCTCCCAAAATGCCTCTACTGCCGCCATCACTTCACTATTGTCCTCAAATTTGTTGCCCGGAGGTGTTCTTTGAGCCGAAGAAAGAGGTAGAAGTCACTGGGAGCTAGATCTGGCGAATAGGGAGGGTGTTCCAGCAGTTCGAACCCCGTTTCTTCAATGGCAGCCATCGCAACTGCGGCTTTGTGAGCCGGGGCGTTGTCTTGGTGAAACAGCACTCCAGCGCGCAGTTTATCGCGTCTTTTTGACTTAATAGCTTCTCGCAATCTTCTTATTTGGCCTGCGTAGTAAGAGCCTGTTATAGTGGCCCCCTTTTCCAAATATTCCACCATAATAATTCCTTCTGCATCCCAGAAAACAGACGCCATAACCTTTCCCGCTGAACTTGACACTTTGAATTTCTTCGGCGTTGGTGAGGAAGCTCGTTTCCAGGTCATTGATTGTTGTTTGGTTTCGGGATCAAAGTGGTGGATCCAGGTCTCGTCCATGGTCACAAAACGCGACAAAAAAAATTCTTTATCGGCCTGGAACTTTTGAAGATTCACCCTCGAAATGTCGACTCTTTTGTTTTTTTGCTCGTCGGTTAACATTCTCGGTACCCAACGCGCAGAGACCTTTTTCATATGCATTTTGTTGACAATGATTTTTTGAGGAATATGGAGGAACAGACTCCCCCAATGTTTCCTCTAAGTCGCTGTGTATGTCTTTGGTAGACATTTTTTTCAGGCAGAGGTACTTGATGACAGCTCTTATTTCATTTTTCTCCATTTTGATGTTTTCTCTTCGACAGTTCGTATTCAAATGAATGTATCTCCCGGTAATGGTGTCCTATTTATACATTTTTTTTGAAGCTGAAGTAGTGGATGCAAGCAGAATGCTGAAGCAAGCAGAAAAAAAATAATTTGGGTTTTTGTGCGTTCTAGAAATACTCGATTATCATTACTTATTGATCACCCCTCGTAAGTGTTACAAAAAACTACATGTTTTTTAAATATTTTTTTATTTAGGATTGTTTATTGCATAATTAGTAATCAGCCGGGAGATTAGGTATTGTTTTGAATGGTTTTTTTTTCTCGTAATGTTTAGGTGAATTGTTTATAGTTGTTCATAGAATTGGTACCTTCGTAGTATTTGTTAATTGAAGTTTAATTTTAGGGTAGGTATAGGTAATTTAAGTTTTGAAGAGTGTAACGTATGCGTTGTAAATAGGTATTTTGTGAATAGATGGGGATTTTTTTAAGTGATGAATCGACTTAGGCTAGCATATCGCGAACAAACTCTGTATTGCATTATTTCTGTAATAATGTTGGAGAAAATAAAATATTTGATCACAAAATCGCGGTGAGTTAAATTATAATAAAATAAATTATTTATGTAAAATTAGTAATAAGTGATATACCTACCTAAAAGTTATGATCGTTTGTAATTTGTTCACCCTGAACGAAATTTCAATATTAGCATTAGTAATTAATATCCTAAGACAAGAATTGACAATTACTTAAATTGAATCGAATTAGCATTAATGCCTATTATTAGTAATTAGGTACACACATATTTAAGAACTCTCAAGAATACGATAAATATTTGCAAAAATAGAAAGCGGAAGCGCACACGTACTTTACAACACGTAGGTATATTATCTGCCTAAGGGTCAAGTTTAGTGCACTAGATGCAAATTGCAAACAATGAAGTATCCTTTCGCCCCTCCCCTCCCGCGTTCTAGCGAAGGATGTATTATCAGCGATTCTTGATTGACAAATATTATCTGACCAATAATTTTATCTATAAAAATGTATCACTTTCACTCGATAAATTAAATTACCGTTATTATGTCAAAATATCATTCAACAACAACTGTTCGTTTTTAACAGAAATCAACAGTCACGGGCTCAACGCTTAACGGTAGGTACATAGGTATAGATAATTCTCGGTTCTCGGTATAGACCACAGAACAATATTACCTACTCTTACGAGGTATACGACTGTTGGGCGATGCAATGTTGATGCATTCTAATTTACAACTGTATTCTTCTACTATTCGGTCTATTTTAACTTATTGTAGATGACTTGTTGCTTTAAATATTTTGATGCATTCAAGTCTAAGCTCCATACACCCCAAAATAAAATACAATTACTTTAGTGTTATTTCTTTACAAAAAAAAATCAAAGAAATAAAACGATTTCTTATTGGTTTAAATTTTCGATTTATTGCAGTCAGGTGAATCGTTCATACATGTATCTACATATTTATAATTTTAGCGGACCAGTGCAGATTTTCTGTTGATTGTAGCTCCGGTAGTAAAAAAGACTAAAGAAATTTTAAGTAAAGAAACTAGTGCTTAAGATCAATTAGGGAAAAAAACAAAATAAATAATAGGTAATAATAATGAATAAATATTGAATGTATTTAACACTGTACGCAACTGTACCGAAATCGTAAGGTGTATTACACTAAACATTTTAAAAGACAGCGCAATGTACTGGGTGATCGCTTTTTTGTAACCACCTAAACATGGTCGGATTACCACGGACTTGCACCTTCTAATGACTTTCATTTAATTATCTCGTAAATTGTTATATGTACGACGCTGAAATTCTACAGGTAGACAACTGAACTAAACAACTAATTATTGGCATAACATTCAGTTTATATATCCACACACAGGTTTATCGGTGGCCAAAAAAGGCCGCACACATTGTGATCGTGAACGTGGAGAGCAACATTTCATCATAACTTTTTAGTCACTTACAGTATTCTTACGAAAATTCGTATACATTTGAAGGTATAGCAATAGAATAGCAATAGAATAACGCAATATACACATACAATATACGCTATACAAGCAATAGAATAACGTTTCAAGTAAGTCTTTAGAGGTCTTATTTAAAGTGTTAGGACGTATTGAAGTGTTTTCATACTTACCTAAATAATTTTTAAACCGTCCATAATTTTTGTTATTTTATTGTCGAACAAATTAAAACTAATCCTTAAGAAGTTATGTACAAAAGATGGTTACAATCCGCTTACCCGTTTCAGAGATCCAGCAAACCCACAAACGTTACTCCAGCAGGATTTCGAATAACTTCGCAGCCGAAGAAAATACAAATACCAAATAAGTTGTAACATTTACCTAGTCCAGATAACTAATTATTTAGCTAAAATTTATTTCAATATTACAATTAAAAAAGAAAATGTCTGGCTGCGGTAGGTAACGTTTCAAACGTTACCCCAGCAGGAAATGTTTTTTTGAAATAACTAAAAAAGTTTAAGTGAAACAAATTTGAAAATGTGCCTAACAATTACAGAAGGGGAGCAACTAATTATCTATAACGTTTAAATGACCATTTTCGACATTATTTTGCTGGGGTAACGCACACGATGCATTAATTAAATGACTGACGTTTGGCAAAACTTGAGGTTAGTTAAAAATAAATTATGCGCACTAGAAAATAGTTAACCACGTAATCAACATAGGTACCACGAATATATACTGCATGTACTGAAGAACCTTGCAAGCAAGCTTTTCAATGTTTAATCCGTAGGTATCCCAAAAAAAAAATATTTCTGAAGTATTATCAAAATAAAAAGGTAACACAATATTTAGAATATTTTTTTTAATAAAACATCACACAAAATTTATATTTCTGTTCAAATGAATTAGAGTTTAAGGAGACACAAAAATTGTGATAAAATAATAACGGGTACTGCACTCAGCTGTGATCCGTTATTAGACTTGCGATTTGAAGCTTCCATTGTCATTCTATGTGGTTCCACATTGGTAATTTGAGGGTGCACAGGATAAGTAGCTAGAGCTACTGGTTCCTGTTCTTCATTCTTCCTAATTTTTTCATCCAACCACGCTTTGAAAACATAAGTTGGCAAAAAGTCTACCATCCTTTTGTTTACAGCATATGTAGCTGACATCTCTTTTGTACATTCAATTTGACCTTTAGTTATGACTCCCATAAGCTCGTTATCAAAAACCACTGGACCGCCGGTATCTTTAAAACACGTTGTTACTTTAGTCTCGACACAGTCAAAGTATCCTTTTACACTTTCTGCTACTTCTGCAGCGTAACGAACTTCCATGCCGATATATTGTAGCTCTTTGACTTGGCCGACATCTGAATTTATTCCAAAGCCAATTCCTTCTACATCCACAATGAAGCGAGGATTAGTGTAGTTACTGAGTTTGATTTTAGAAGCAACACTACTGTTATGCTTTTCCGTATATGCGATGCCTACGTCTTTCGAGCCTTCGCCTGTTGTAAATGTGGGAAACCTTTCGGTCTTTATGACATGAAGAGATATGGTAGTATCGTCTCTTTTATCAGACGTAGTGTTAAGAAGAACATAACTCAAAGGTTGCTGAGTACACGTTGCTGTAGTTAGTATCAATCCATTAGAGACTATACACCCAGAACATAAATATTCATTTTGTTGGGACATTATAGCTACCATAAACGGAAACTGTTTAAAACTGGCACTACGTATTTCATGCATTTGACTATTCTGTCTTCTAGTACAAGTGATGTTGTTAGGTTCACTTTCCATGGGAATATCCATGGATTCATCTTTGGACTCATAACTTACTTCGCCGTTATCATCTCTATTGTCGTCTATACTCTTCTTCACATTTTCACCAGAACAAACAGTTATAAAAGCCAATACAAATAAAACAAAAACTAGGTAATTCATTAAAACGGGTTTAGTTTTCATCGTCAAAATATTCCATATATTCTTCTAGGATGAAAATTCTTGTTCTTTTTTCGTTTCTATCAAATATCTTTTTGTTTTTTTAACACATTTTTCTTCAAGCTGCCAGTAAAAATGACGTTTCTGTGCAATCCTTCTTGAGGATTTTATTTGATATGACCTCGTTTTTCTTAATAATGTTCTGTTGTTTAATAATGTTTCTGTGTTTATGACTATAAAGAAAATATATAAAAATGCATGATGATCTGTTTTATCATGGACATTTGCAGGTTAACACTGTCAACAATATTTTGGTGTATGATCCGTGCGCAAAACCACCATCTAACAACCAGCCTCTACGAGATCATTCAGTCTGCTTTCTTTCTGAAATTACACTGGTCAGCAAATAAAACGAGCCACCCGCTACCTAGGAACTCTGATTCGATTTTCTCAAAAAGTATAAAACTTATAACTATCAAAGTCATACCTACAAAAAGTGCGTTTCATGGTGATTAAAATGACTAAAAATTAATTCGAAAGTACCGTCAACTCACATTGTAATCAAGCAACAAACACAATGCTAACGATTTGCTCTGTTTTCACCAGAGTTAGAAATTAGCGTTCTATTTCTCTACAATGAGGGTAGTCGGATATTTCTTATCATTTCTTTAGTTTTTGTCCATCGTTTGCTCAGACGCGTGTGTTTTTGCTACTTTTTTCAATTAATAACGGATACAACACCTCAGGAAGCAGCTCAAGCTGTAGCATTACTTCAAGCAGGCATTGCGCAACGTGAAGTCGCTCGAAGGCTTCGAATCAGCAGATCTTCGGTGCAACGAGTTTACAGACGATACCTAGAGACTGGAGCATTCGAACGCCGTCCAGGTACGGGCAGACCTAGGGCTACATCAGCAGCAGATGATCGTTATATCCACCTTACTGTTCTGCGAAATCGCCACCTCAACGCAGTTCAAGTCCAACAAAGTCTGCGTGACGAACGCCAAGTGGTCATAAGTTCAGATACCGTCAGAAGGAGACTTGCTGAACGGAACCTGACCCCAAAAAGAGCTGCAACAGGCCCAGCATTAACGGTAGCACACCGTCGAGCACGACTTGAATTTGCTCGAGAGCATAGGGATTGGACATTAGAGCAGTGGAGTAATGTACTCTTCACTGATGAGACCAGGGTGAGTCTACATGGAAGTGATCGACGTCAGAGAGTATATCGTCGCCCTGGAGAACGTTATTCTCAGTGTTGCATCGAGGAAACTGTTGCTTATGGAGGAGGATCTGTAATGGTCTGGGGCGGCATCTCGTTAACAACACATACAGCGTTAGTTTTCATCGAACCGACGGGCCGTACACGTGGACTGACTTCTCATCGCTACATTACTGAAATCCTCGCAGACCATGTGGTACCTTACCAGGATATATCGGACAGGATATGCAATTGATGCATGATAATGCACGGCCTCATGTTGCTCATGTGGTGACCCAGTATCTACGCGACGTCAGCATTCGTACGATGGACTGGCCAGCTCGAAGCCCGGACTTGAATCCGATAGAACACTTATGGGATGAGCTGAAACGTCGGGTTCGAGCCCGGGTACCTGCTCCAACAAGGCTTCCAGAGCTGCGAATCGCAATTGAAGAGGAGTGGAATACAATTCCTCAAGATTTTATCGTCAGGCTCGTAAGGTCGATGAATACAAGGATGCTGGCAGTTATCCGAGCAAGGGGAGGGAATACGGAATATTGATCAAAAACTTTTTTTTGATTTTATCTTTGTTTTTGGCTTTAATTTTTTTTTCACTTCATCATTACTAACGATTGTCACGACTGGAAAACGACTCTTCTTTGTAAAATCCTTAATAAACACTGAAATATTGATTAAACCCAATGAATTTCCTTTCATTTTAATCACCATGAAACGCACTTTCTGTAGGTACAACTTTGTTAATTGTAGGTTTTTTAGTTTTTGAGAAAATCGAATTAGAGTGCCTAGGTAGCGGGTGGCTCGGTTTATTTGCTGTCCAGTGTATTTTTCTCTAACAGCAGTTAGGAATTTATTTCTTAGTCAATTATTTGTCTCTATAACTTATCAAACATAGACTTACCGGTTGTGGTCACATATACAATAGGCATTGTTGCTATTCACATTATTCTTCTTCTAAAACTCGCTCTGAGCCGACTACGTGGCGAAGGTGAAATTAAATTAATTTCAGAAAAAAATATAATTATTTTCTGTAGTTTTATATCAAAGAATAATTGAAGCGTACTAATATGTAATTGAAATTCACTTTAATACATAAAATCAAGAAAAAAAGGAGACTTGTCATGACAAGGCGGGGCAAGTTATTCGGCGTCGGGCGTCGTCACTAGTTTTAAAGGCATTTTGTAATGAAAGCATAAAATTTAAGAGCATGTCTTTAGTTTTTATAATAAAGTAGCCTAAAAACAAAAAAAAACTTATTAATTACATATCTACATGGAATAGTAACAATCATAAGTTTTGTGTCAGAATCGTCACAATTTCGGCAATCTAGTATCATTACTTTCTTAAATTAATTAGTCTTTAACTATTATATTTTCTCCGTTTTTATAATTAAACCTTAATCTACACAACTCATTATGACTACAAGTTTGGTAACTTTTAACCATTCAAACTTAAGAAAATCAACAAATATTTGGTTCAAAACAATAACATAATGTAGTAATGAAGTAAGATGAGAGCCATATCTTAGATCTGAAAAAACACATAAACGTGGTATTATTGTACATAATTTTTCAAAAATTCAGGAAAAAAAATTTTACAGCACAAGTTTTCAGCGTGTGGTGAGGATGTCATGTCCACCTACGTGAAACATAAATCTAAACAGCACACTGTTATTTAGTCTTTCCTGAGAAACAAACTACAATAACTCATCTCACTCGAGAATTGATGGGTTCATACATAAAGGTCATGATTGTACCGCAAACAAGCAAACTTATATATCACTACAGTTTAAAACACATTAATTGTTTTTGTTTAGTCGGGTAAAGCACTATGAAGGTAACTCTTCATATTTCCAAAACGTCACGATTATTATTCCACATACATGTCACGTGACGATATGAACGTGACGTTCACTACCTTCTGCAACAATATCTTGATATTTGATCCCTCTGATAGACTAATTGTTGATCAATTAGAATATACATACAAACAATTAAACAATTATTTGAATGAAGCATAAATACAATAAAAAAAATACTTACAGTAGAGAAGAAATGCCATAACTATTGCGGAACAATACTTTTATCTCATACCAAGTCGCAAACCTTTTTTTTTTGTTTTTGGTTACTGGTGTAGCCGGGGAAACAGGTATATCCTAGAAAGGAAAGCTCTGACCAAGTCGCAACCCTGTCGTCATGCTTTTCGGCAACAAATAAATGAATATTTGAAATGGCAGCTTTCGTAGGCAGGTAATGTTATCAGGATCAAAATTAGAATAAGTTTTTAAAGTTTTTATTAAAAAACGTATTTAAAACCCATTTTTACTGACTAAGTAGAATTTGCCACCAAATGCGAATTTTGTGGACAGATTTTAATCAATTATATTTTAGTATTTTTGTTAAAAAATATGCCAAACAATGCTACTTTTAAATAAAACAGATTAAGACACATCTGCATAAACCTTTACTGTCATCAAATATTTATTATTTAGATAGGTTTTAAGCATTCAAAGTTGCCTGAAACAGCATAGGACATAGCAAATTTACATGATTTGTAATATTCAAATCAAAGTTTTGTTTAAAAAAGTTAATTGAATGTAGATTTTATGTTCCGTTGATATTAAAAAAATAAATTTACTAATCGCAGAACACCTGTAAACATTGTATTAAAACTGAGAGAAATAGTGAGTAATGCTTTATTGAAGTTAGTGGACAACCATTTTTAGCCGTGTGCAACATTTCGCGGAAATACCCTCAGCGAGGGTCCTCCTTGTCTAATATAGTAACATAACGCCATAACTGTCAGAATTTTTAAGTTATATCAGTGTTTTGCTATAATTTTTTCAATTTACCATTGTCGGTTGTAGTTTAACTTTTTATAATTTCTTGACGCCGGACTTCATTCAAGATACACAAAGTTAATATCAATAAACCATTTGGAAGAATCTAATTAAGATGTGGCAACACTGTCACATCAGGTTTTTTTACTTTACTGTCATTTCTTTATTGTTTTGGTTAGGGAGAATTTTGCTGCCTAAGAGTTATTAATCACGATATATGGTACAGATGCTCAAATATACAAACAATAAAGGCTAGTACAATATAACCCATTTTGTGTCAACGTTTGCGTAGTCAAATAATGTTTGTGCTTAAAAATAAACAGAATAAATGAATAGTGGTTATTCAGACGAGGTATGTATCTATTCTAAATAAGCTGTAAAAGTACTAGTTCTTATTGCCAAATAGTATCAACTATGTATTATAAAAGTTTATAATACCTATTACTAATATTTTCAGTGTCATTCTATTTTGTAATAAAAAAATCACTTAAATGGTTCTTTCATAATAACTTTGCCACATCTTATATGTATACAATTTTGGTACATAAGTTAAAAACTAAAAAGCGTTTTAAAATAAAGAAGGTGAACTGAAATTGTACACAAGTCTTCATCCTTATGTGGTGATAAGGTCTAAAATGGACGAAATGAATAAAGATTTATAAATTCATGGTACCACTTTCTACTTCATTCGGTATGCAGTCATCTATACATATAAAATTACTTGCCCTGACTGATTCATTAACCCAGAGCCTAAACCACTGGTCAGAAACTTGAAATTTTGACAGCTGATGCTTTTTATATCTCAGTGAATTCTCCAAAAAAGTATTTTTGGAAATTTTACTTTATTACTACTAATTTAAAGAGGTAAAAACTGGGTCAACGGTTGTATGGAAGTTTGTTATTTTAAAAGTGAGAAACAAAAAATAATCACAGGAGTGAAGCCATAAAAATGTTTGTTTCAAATTATTAGCTTGTTGATATATACAGGTGTCCTAAAAGTCGACGTCAAGAAATGGAGTAATAATAATAATAAGCCTTTCATTCTGAAGTTATACAGTTTTTTCATACTACTCAATAATCCCTTGTACACTAGTCATAATATATCCCAAAGTTTGGTGTGCCTTACGGCATAGGCCTCCTCCAACGTCTTCCACTGTTTCCCATCGGTTGCAATTCTTAGCCAAAGGGGACCTAGAGTCAATTTCAGATCATATTCCCATCTTCTCACTTTGCGACCTTGGCTCCTTGACCCATCTCTTGGATACCAGACCGTTACCACCAGACCGTTACCAGCGTTACCAGACTTGTTTGCTCCATTTTTCATGCTAGAAATGAAGTAGTTGGCTGTAAATTTACAGCACCAGTTTTGAGAAGCATTATTCAGGATTACATATTAAAAAGAAAATTTAAAACGACATAAATTTGAAGTAAAGGAGTTAAGAACCTCAAAGGGTGTAGATTTTCTCCATTTATTTAAAAATTCCTGTAATTTTTACAATAGATTGTTTTTTTTTTTCATATTTTTCTGTTAACTATTGTCACTTTTTCTTTTTTTTTTTAACGTGTGGAAATCCCCTCGGACCGTCACCCCTCCGGGGTTTGCGGCGGGGTGGTGTGTCGGACTCGGACCGACTAAAACCACACGGTGTGCCACTCTGCGCCTGTAACAGGAGGGATCCGGGAACAGCTGTTGTTAAGACATCCGGACCCCTCCTAGTGCCAGCCCGCTCCTGGTGCGGGCTCCGTCTCAATATTTTTTCCTCTCCTTAGGCGACGTCCGGCACACGCGGACGCCGCCCCCTCGCGGCTGGCCAAACTAATGCGGGTGGAGGGGAAACCCACCCCGTCCACCCGCGGCCGGTTCGCCGGCGGCGGATCGGGTCCGAGTGGAGGTCGTCCTCCCGGGCCCTCTCCGCCGCCTCCTTCCGCAAGATTACTACCTCGCAGAAGGTTGCGACCGCGGTAAAACAACTGTCGCTACCGGCCATGGAGCGTACTACGGCCGGCAGCGAGAGATCCACTCCGATGACTGCGGTGAGGGCCCGGCGCTGCGCCGCCCATGCGGGGCAGACCGCCAGCGTGTGCTGGGCCGAGTCCTCACTGCAGTCGCAGTGGTGGCAGGCGGGACTGAGTTCCCTCCTAGCGACCGAGTGCAGGTACTTTCCGAAGCAACCGTGCCCGGAAAGCACCTGCGTCAGCCGGAAGGAAAGGGTCCCGTGCTGCCGCCCTGCCCACTCGGCGATGACCGGCTGGAGAGCCTCCACGGCGGCGAAGCCAGCGCGTGGAGTCTCCAGCCGGAACGACCAACGAGCCATCGTGGCTCGGCGAGCGGCTTCGCGCCACTCGCGCACATCCTCGGGCGGAGGGCGAAATCCGCTCTCCGCCCGGGAGTCAGCCACTCGCCGATAAACTTCGGCGAGCACTTCCGCCTCCAAATCCCACGGGGGAGTTCCGGCCAACGCGCATGCCAACTATTATCCCTTATATTATACAGGCCAACTATTATCACTTACCTTGACCTATCACCTGATTCCGGCTTGACGTCGACTTCTCAGACACCCTGTATAATAGCAATTGCCTACTTATGAAGGTTTTAGAAAAAAAACATGCAATCCAATCACAACACATCATTATCACATCAACAGCCTTTAATAGTCCACTGCTGGACATAGGCCTCTCCTTACAAAGGAGGTTGGTCTACTATACCACGCTGGGCAGACGAGTTGGCATAGGGTTTGTGTCAAGTTTTCCTTCTCTTTGCAGTGTTGTTGTCCTGCCTTGTTTTCTGGGTGATGACACTTTGGATTCTTGCCAATGATGATCAGAAAAGAAGAAGGTAGTTGATGATGAAGAGCCAAACTTCTTTTCACACCTACATTTATAAGACCACTAGCTTTTTCCTGCGACTCCGCCTGCGTCTATGTCGGTTATAGCAGTAAAAAGTAGCTTATGTTCCTCCAAAGTATTCAAACTAACTCCACACCAAATTTCAGCAGTCATTGATTCTCCATACAAACTTCCACCCCTCTTTTCACTACCTTAAAGGATGATTTATGGGATAAAAACTATCCTATGTCCTTTCCCGGGACTCAAACTATCTCTATACAAAATTTAATTGAATGCGTTCAGCGGTTTAAGCTTGAAGAGGACAGACAGACACAGTTCTGCATTTATAATATTAGTATGGATTGTTACAAATTGTTCACATAAAAGTGATGTGACTCATGAATTGGCTATTGTGATTATTATATATATATATATACCTATATATATATATACCTATATATATATATATATATATATATATATTGATATGATGTAAAACAATAAAGCAACTCATAATTCTGTGAAAAGACAACTAGTCTGATGGACACAGCAAAAATTTCAAAACCTAAAATTAAAGCCTCAAAAGGAAGGTCTATGAAACTTTTAAAGATATCGAATTTTAAAATTAGGTCTTTAATAGATTTTTAAGATTCTTGTTGAAATAGTTTAGTATTAAATTTTCCCCAAATAAAAACTTTATGACAATAATGAAGAACATTAAATTTTAGTCCAAGTTTATTGTTGAGGGTGAAAGAGAAACCTAATAAAAACTTTACTGTCTTTAACTGTATTTAAACAATGTACAGAAAGGGGGGGCATCCATCATACCATCAGCGAGAAGGAGCATACGTAGCTCCAGCGACCACACAATGGGAAGATACGGATTAAATAAATCAATTGAAAGAAACAATCAAAGAAATTCACCAAATATCAATGAACAAGCAAGGGATGAAGTGGACAATGTAATGAGGTATGTGCATTTTTATATTAAAAATTAACAAATTTATGACATACTAGATTTTGCCCTCGGCTCTGCTCGCGTGTATGTAGGTTAGCAAATAACTTTGGTCTAACCCCAGTAAGGTGATTATAACCTGTGGTTACCAAACGACAAAAAAAAAGAGGAATGGAATGTTATCACAATATTTCCTACTCAACTACTATATTCACATTTACTTACAAATTTATGACATACTAGCTTTTGCCCGCGGCTCTGCTCGCGTGTATGTCTTTATCGCGGTAAAAAGTAGCCTATGTCCTTGCTTAAGAATCAAAGTATCTCCATGCCAAATTTCATTAAAATCGGTTTAGCAGTTTAGGTGTAAAAGCATAATAGACAGACTTCGCATTTATAATATTAGTTGATATAATGTATAACTACTATAAAGTCTTTAGAAATCCTTTTACCTCAACGTCATTTTTTTTTTTGTTTTCGTAGTTAAGAGACAATGAAAGCCATTGTCAGGAAATTGTCAGTCTCAGGCTTGTTTTATTTTTATTTGAGCTATAGTAGAGCTTACCTCTACTAGTATTGAACTATTGAGTTGTAAAGATTGTAAAACATGTAGGTACTATGGAATATAGAGGTTCGAGTCATGTAAGTTTTAGACTTATTGAGTTTTGACTTACAGGGGTTCTACTGTATTATATTATATTTGTTGTTGCTATTCTGTTAAATGACTATACTTCCTAAGTCAAACAAACTTCCAATGTTCATAACATTAAAGTCATAACAAAATCCATAAATCCTTCCTTGGAGATTACTTCTTATGCCCTTGCCCTGATTCTTAACATTAAAAAAACAATATCCATTTGCAGAGAAGAAATGCTAGTAAGAAATCTTGGTAATATTTCTAAAACTGTTAAGGATGGTCTGGCGTACGATTCGTCTATTCACTACGAAGTGTACGAATGTTTTGCCCGTCTGAAAAACAATATAATTTATATATATACTAGGTATATCACCCAAAGTCACTCTGGAGTTCGTCGTAGTTTCTGAAGCGCCATCACCGCGGCCTGATTGGTGTTGTATCTTCCTGTTATTGGTTCTATTTGTTCGTCGACTCGCTAGGTTTAGTTGTAATTGTAAGCAAACTCACTTTTTTACACTTCTTAGCGTGATTTCATTTAGTAACACAGAATGTATCTTATTTTGCAGTAAAATGGCCCAACCAAGAAGTCCGTTAACAATAAGAAAAAAAAACATAGTACGAACTAATTCAAATACAGAGGTCGAGGAAAACAGGGATAATTACACGTAAGTCAATAAAATTGTTTTATCTTATATCTAACTATGGCTTGAATGGATGCTTGTCACTTACACTAAAAAAATATTTGTTGTAGATACATATCTCTAGATAACGCAAATTGTCTTTTGCATCTAACTTCACCCATTTATTATTATGTACTAATGGTTACTAACTTTAAACACTGCTTGGCTTAATATATTGGTAGTTTCAGTAAATCTTTACTTAGAGAGTCTTTATTTAGAGAATAAATGTGAATCAGATCTCTGATTCACATTTATTCTCTATATTTTATTGAAATTATTTCAAATTTAGGCTGGATGTGTTGCAATTTAATGATCTACGTTTTATAGCCCTTTCGTTAGAACACAAGGTATTAAGTGATTATCATCAGTGCAATTTAGTTACTTTTAACAACCATGGAGAAACACATGCATGCACAAGTCATAGAACAGACTACTGTTTTGTTACTATCGTATCTTGAGAATACAACAATTAAATCCTTAGATTTTCAGTAATGAATGTAGATGAAACAGGTAATTTTTAATTATCAGTAAAGACCACTTATTTATAATTGGAGCATCCTTAAGTTGAGACAGCCACTGAGGTCTCTTAAGTGTATCTATTCTTAAACACTAATCAATTATTACATAACTATATCAAACTAGCTGGCCCGCGCAACTTCGTTTGCGTCTTTCAAAAGAAATAAATTATCTTCGTTTTTGCAACATTTTTCATTGATACTCTGCTCCTATTGGTCATAGCGTGATGCTATATAGCACTAATCCAACACTAAAAGTTTTTTTCAATTCGAACCCCTTAATTCCTGATTAGCGTGTTCAACAAAACAAGCAAACTGCAGCTTTATAATATTATTATAGATTGATTGAGACGCCCTTCTGTCATTGAATTTGGTTAACAAAACTCACCCATTTGCTTTGTATGCTGCTATTCTAAAAATCAGCTTTAATAAATCTAATGAGCATAACAAAATTACTGTATAGTAACAAACCGTAGTCGTCAATGTTTTGTGACTAAAAAGTTTTGAGTTGTCCATCTGTTTCGTTACAGCCATATGCTTTCGAAATCTTTACCTTCAACTCTGCCATCGAATTTGTATTACAGTGATGACGATGAACTTGCACAAAACTACTCCGGGGCATCAGTACCGAATACAAGTCACGAAGATAGCCTCCCTCTATCGCCACACGTATATCACAATGAATTTGAAGGACGCAATCAGTCTTCGACTCGGAAGCTCAATGATAGTCAACATAGCTCAAACTTTAACAGAAGTAACTTTAGTTCTGATAATCTTGATAGATCTTGCCAACGAAGGTTATCAGTTTCTCAGGAAGAAAGAAAGGGATCAAATAAGTCACTAAACTATATTGTCATACTTACTTTCTGCATAGGCATCGTAGCTATGTATTATTCTACAATACTAGAATTATTTGCAGTAAATATAAATCAAGATAAATCAACACAAACAGTTAATTATGATACAATTTCATTTGAAAATGATATGAATAGGCTTCAAGAAAAATACAATATTGATAGTAATTCAATTTTACAACTTAAAAGTGGTGAGTATAATCAAAGTACTACATTAAATGTATATGTATTCGGGATAAAAATTCATGATCCACAAGGAGTTGGACCTACTTTAACCTCAATCAGACACCAACTCCTCCTAAAAAAAAGTGTATATTAAAGGAAAGGTCTTTGTGTTTTCTGTGTTTGTTATTTAAATGGGTTGAGTCACAAGAAGTTTTCCTAGTGGAGAGTTGTTTATTTTATAAGAGGTGAGTATCAATCTAAGATATAAAGGAAAACCGAACAATCTCTATATATACCTATCTATGAAAACAATGTTATATATTAGGTATATTATGTTCTGATAGAAACATGTAGGTATGTCTAGTCATAAGCCTTGTATTATATCGTACTATCTGTAATGTTTCAGGTATAATAACAATATTTTCGAAAATGGATGCAGGTTCCTTCATATTTGTTTACAATAGTAAAACTCAGAATTTTAACTCACTGCAGTTTGAAAAGTTCATGGATGAAGTTGCACACACAGCTGCAAGATATTTACGTAAGAATATTTAAATTAATCGAATTTAATATTAATGTAGGTAAATAATATGGCTATACGATGTCGTAGCAGTACAGATGTCACTTTGCCACAAACCGCCATTGCGTCGAGTTTTCCTGGTTCGACTATTTGTCTCGAATATCGACTCGACTGAACTCGACTGCACGGATGGCGTAGTTAAGGCGGTCGCCACGTCACTTCCTACTACGCTGAGTGTTGTGGGTTCGATCCCCACACGGGACGACACGTTGTGTGATCCACAAAATGTTGTTCCGAGATGGAGGATGTTCATTATGTCCGTTTCAAGTATGTTTGTAAAGTCCCCCGCGACACGGGATATATTCCTTATTCGGAAATTATCATTTTAAAATAGTATATGGGTGTACTTTAGGTCTTATTTTTAATTTTTCTTTTAGTAAAAACTCCTTTACAACGACAGTAGCACCGTGAGGGTATATAAAGTCTATCCAAAGTTTAAACCTCTTCTATAGTTAAGCAAAAGAAGCTAAGTAAATAATATCCAAGTCATAAACTATCTGTACACGAAATTGAATCTGTGCAGCCGTAGAGTAACAAACATCCACCCTCACAAAATTCGCTTCATAGCATTGTATGTAAAATAAAATTTATTTCACAAAATATTGTTTATTTCAGGTAACGACGTTTCCTCCATTAAACACACTGTTATTGTTAGCACAAATCTAGACATGGCAGAGCACGGGGAGTTGATCAGTAGGTATCGAGATGACGTAGATAAAGCCGGGGTTTTACTAGTGAAGGAGGTCGACAGTGTCCCATCATATTTAGCTATGGCTTTCCATTATTACTGCGATGAATATAATCCATTGGTAAAGAGGAGCGCTATATTCTTCACATTGGATTTGGCTAATTGCTCTAATGTCTCGGGTGAGAATTTTGTTTTTTAAATACATTTTGGGCATAAGCCCTCCATATAAACAACAGTCACAAATTTGTTAAAAAGGTATATAGCTAGACAAACAAGCTAAAACACGTTGTCGGGCCTATTTGAGGGTTTCACTCGATTTCTTTAGGATCCCATCATCCGATCCTGATTTGGTGGTAATGGGACCACTTCGGGAGCATACCCTTTCGACTACAAAACTGTTTCATTCTTTTTCATCTGAACCTACAGCCAGGCACTTCCTGACAGGTTGTACGGCGCTATTAGACAGGAGTCATTATTCACGTGCCCATGATAGGGTATTACAAATAATAAGCGAAGTTTATCAAGTGCGAGATTGAAAAAAGGAATAACAAACATAAGAACATCGAGTTTATAAAGTCAGGCTCAACAGAAGACTTCACAAAAGATGTACTCAATTATAAACACCGCCAATGACTGGACACGTATGAAAATCATTACAGGATACCGGAGGATATATGTGCCTGGGCTTCTAGACCAGACATATTACTTTAAGCAATGTTAATTATGCTTATAGAACTAGTAGAACTCACTGTGCCATGGGAAACAGACATCCCTAAAGACCACGTTTTAAAAAAAAACAAATACTTGGACTTAACCAACTAAATAACTATAAATGGTTATTTAGTTGCGTTGTATGCCGTGGAAGAGGATGCGATGGGTATACCAGCTAAATCCCTCTATTATCGACTCGTATCAAAAATGACTAGGTAGAAGGGGTAACACAGTAGACAGTGGAGGTGAGCGCTGACGCGTCACAAGGAGTAAAGGAGACCCGTAAGCTACTCCTAGGTCGCAATTCCCAGGCACTGTCGAAGGCGCATTGTTGCCTCTATCTATCACGGCGATGGACCCGGCAGCCGCTCGCTGAATCCATGGAACGCTAAGATATAGGTCTATGTCAAAAAAGTTTTTTAAAGTTTGTAATTTTCTATTATTATTTTCAGAGAAAAAACCAACACACGATTTTATCGAAAAATGTCTGTCAGCGAAATGGAAGACTGTGCCTAAGGAAAATATGAGACCGTTATTAACAAGAATGGTCGATGTAGTCATAGACGTTACGAGAGTGTTTTAACAGTATTGATTTTTATTATATTTATTATCATTTTTTGTATTTAATTTTGTCTTTTATTTTCATACCTATCGAGTAACGATAAACACATAGTAAGGAAAATAGTACGTCATACTGTGTTATCGTAAAGGACAATACCCATTTTTGTATAGGAATCCGTAAAATGTGCGTTCAAAACAAATTTACTCCCTAGTCTACGTTTTGACTTTTCACTACCAAACAAATTTTGTAAATGTTTAACCGCTTTTTCGAAATATTAAAAAAAGTAAAAAAAAAGAAGCGCCTGATAATATTTTTTTAGTGACACACATGATTATTGTTGAAATACGTGATTAATTTATATTATACATAATATGAGTGTTTGTTTATTACATATTATCACCCCGTGGGTGTCGTAAGAGCCGACTAAGGGAGCAAACTACGCATTACAAAAGCACTGCAAAGAGAGGGAAAACTTGAAACAAACCTTATACCAAACCGTCTGGCCAGCGTGGTATAGTAGGCCAAAACCTCCTGTCTATGGAGAGGCCTATGTCCAGCAGTGGACTGTTAAAGGCTGTTGATGAGATGATTTAACAAGTGCCTTAGTAGAAATATTTCTGTGTGATCTGTGGGTGTAACATTTTTCACTTGTTCGAGTTTAACACAGTAATAATACTGAAACAAACATGTCCATGAGGCGGTAGGAAAAAGCCTTAAATTCAACATCTTGAATCAGGAAAAAATACCATACTACATTACTTATTATTATTTATATTTTATTTAAGAGCTTTGGTTTAATTATTTACAGTGTTCACATTATTCACTGTGCTAGTAACTGCATATGAACCATATTACAAAATATTATACTTAAGCTACTGGCATACATTTTAACTTGTCAAAGTTACTATATTTAATTTTTTATCCAGCCAGGAAAATTCTTTAACAACATCACAAGTAACATTCTGGAGCTTTCTGTCAGGTCATTAATCCATTTAAGGCATCCCAGACAACTTTCCAGTTATTCAAATGCATGAACTTTTCTTCCTCAGCCATAGAACAATTAATTGTTAACAACAGCATCTGTAACATAGATTCACAGGCAATTAGGATTTTGTCAATAATAATATTTAAAATTGTTTTAGGCGCTGTAGGCAATATCGAGATCAGAGAAATGGAATAATTCCATTTAGCAAAAATCTTAAGTTATCTTTAAACTAACATATCTTTTTTTACTACTAGATTGTTAGGCACACAAACCAGCATAGACAGTGCCGGAGCCTGTAACAAATTTTACCAAAGGGCCCTTGAATTGTTTTAGGTTTTCAAGTCTATGGTATTAAATAAAACAAAATTGTTACAAACTTTTCTTGATTTAATTTGGGCAAATTTTTAGTGTGCGTTACCCCAGCAAAATAATGTCGAAAATGGTCATTTAAACGTTATAGATAATTAGTTGCTCCCCTTCTGTAATTGTTAAGCACATTTTTAAATTTGTTTCACTTAAACTTTTTTAGTTATTTCAAAAAAACATTTCCTGCTGGGGTAACGTTTGAAACGTTACCGCAGCCAGACATTTTCTTTTTTAATTGTAATATTGAAATAAATTTTAGCTAAATAATTAGTTATCTGGACTAGGTAAATGTTACAACTTATTTGGTATTTGTATTTTCTTCGGGTGCGAAGTTATTCGAAATCCTGCTGGAGTAACGTTTGTGGGTTTGCTGGATCTCTGAAACGGGTAAGCGGATTGTAACCATCTTTTGTACATAACTTCTTAAGGATTAGTTTTAATTTGTTCGACAATAAAATAACAATAATAATGGACCGTTTAAAAATTATTTAGGTAAGTATGAAAACACTTCAATACGTCCTAACACTTTAAATAAGACCTCTAAAGACTTACTTGAAACGATATTCTATTGCTTGTAACTACCTTCAAATGTATACGAATTTTCGTAAGAATACTGTAAGTGACTAAAAAGTTATGATGAAATGTAGCTCTCCACGTTCACGATCACAATGTGTGCGGCCTTTTTTGGCCACCGATAAACCTGTGTGTGGATATATAAACTGAATGTTATGCCAATAATTAGTTGTTTAGTTCAGTTTT